TGCCTTCCAGGACATCTATCTTACACTAATGTTCCTATCATTGTGCCCTCGAGGACACCTATCTTACACAAATGTTCCTATCACTGTGCCCTCGGGGACACCTATCTTACACTAATGTTCCTATCACTGTGCCTTCGAGGGCATCTATCTTACACTAATGTTCCTATCACTGTGCTTTCGAGGGCACCTATCTTACACTAATGTTCCTATCACTGTGCCTTCGAGGGCACCTACTTTACACTAATGTTCCTATCACTGTGCCTTCGAGGACACCTATCTTACACTAATGTTCCTATCACTGTGCCCTCAAGGACACCTGTCTTCCACTAAAGTTCCTATCACTGTGCCTTCGAGGACACCTATCTTACACTAATGTTCCTATTACTGTGCATTCGAGGACACCTATCTTACACTAATGTTCCTATTACTGTGCCTTCGAGGGCACCTATCTTACACTAATGTTCCTATCACTGTGCCTTCGAGGGCACCTATCTTACACTAATGTTCCTATCACTGTGCCTTCGAGGGCACCTGTCTTACATAGTGATTGTAACTGAACAGAGTTGTTACCACATTTGGACTTCTGATCTCCTCATATTGTTCAAACTAAAGTGCGCCGTGAACTATTATCATTATCAAAAACATAATATAAAAAAAGCCTCAACACCAAAATAAACAACAAAGAGATTTATAGAACCCCGTTTCGACCCAAGCTCAGGGTCTTTAACCAAACAATAATACCAAAATGCCAGAACATCTACAAAATTGATGGAAGGTATCCAATAATTAATACAATTTAGAACCAAGTAAAACTTATTTTGATGTTTTTTGTTTTTTAAATAGAATATCTTATTTGCATTTGTTTGTTTTTTTCTAGTTCATATCATTTTTTGAATACATTGTAAGTGTAGAAAAAAAACAACACATCACACAGTGCTTTTATATTTTTGCTCTCCAATGTCCATTATTAGCTTGTAATGGTCCCTACCCATATGTCCTTTTGCTTAATATGTCACAGATTCCACTAGGGAAATATAAACTAGATCGACATCATCCTTTATCAATCTGCGTCCGTCCATACCAGTGTTTAGCTATCATTTCCCCAAAGATTCTAAGTGCCATTTATCAAAAAAAATTGGTTTGTAAACAATATAATTTTATTTCAGTTTAATTTCACCTAGCAAGGAACCATTTCTCTTTTCACTCATTTCTATTTTTCAATCCAGTTATATTGTAGCATTTATGTGGTTCAGTTTAAATATTATACTTGACCGTTAATCATAATGTGAATTTACAATTAAAAATGTTGGTTTACACAGGGAGATTCAGATGTAATTTGTGAAAATTCGGCATTTAGTGACCTTGAACATGACTCTGATAAGTAAAGATGCGAGATAGGAAGATAATGAGATGAAAACGTTGACCGAGAATTACATGGTTCTACAGCAAGTAAAGACGTGAGAAAAATAGTACAGGAAATGAGTGGATAGATGTGAGAATGAAAGATGCAAATATTCTTAATATTATTTTATAGATCAGTAGAGTTCTATGTTGAAAATTTATGTGAACATGTAATGTAATTTTTGTATTTACCTTAAATTGCCAACATGTTCATTGAATACATCATATATCACAAAGATACATGTATGTATCATGCATGCATTTAATTTAATTTTTCGGGATATGCTCACCTTACCTCCATTCCAGCCCCATCATCTTCAGAGCTTTTTGTGTGTGTTACTCTTATGTAATACCCACCTCCATCCCGTCCTCTGATTCTCCTCTGGTCTTCTTTAATGTGCCCTGATTGGGGACACTTACCCAAGCAGAGCAAACCTACTCCAGTACTGCTATGCTCCCAAGCCAGTGTTAGCTAAGGGGTTCCCATAGCAACTGCAGCGCAAACACTGTGGTTGCTATGCTTGAGAGAGCAGAAGGACCTATGTCAAATCATAGACATTGAGTATATGCCAAAGTTTTAAGTTAGAAGTGGGAGAAAGACTGATTTTTAAATATGTTTTCTCCCAATCTATCAGTCTATACAAGTGCTAGCAAAACTGCTAGAATAATGTATCGATTAAATGTTTTGCTTCTTAAAATGAGCATATATTTGGATGGGTGGGGTGGGGGGAGGGGGAGTTACAGATACCTTTTAATTTGCTTGAAATTCTCAAGAAAATTTCATACTGGACTTACCTATATCTATATATATCCTTTTCTTCAAGGAGTATTTGTAAAATGCATGCATTTGTTTACGGTTTTTATTTTCTGTTTTCTGGTAAACTTGCAAGGATAATATAGTTATTAGGGGAAATTGACCACTTGCTACAAGAAAAGATGCCTTTCAAACAATATTGATATTCAGAGAAGATAAAGCATTCATCTGCGTTGGAACACTGGAAATGCCAAAATGCAGACAATAGTGAAAACTCATATCAATTCAAAATGACATCTTCTTTCTCAGTATTTTATATTTAACTTCTAGAAAATTGCAGCAGCTCAGTTTAGAAACCGTCCTATCTCTGTACCCTAATGTTATTCAAACTATACTCAGTTGTAGCTAAACATGAATCACATAACTCTATGCATTCTTCCAGATGTCATTCTAATGAGTAGTTTTCTAAAAATACACCTTCAAGATTGTCAGGACAGAAACATAAATGAAAAACATTTATCAGTTGACAGCTGCTAGGACTCTGGCGAGTGACACAAAATTACTATTCTGAACTTTTCAGTAAATTACAATATGACGCACCACAGGAAGGTGACTGATAAGTTTGTTACTTTCAAATAAGACTTCATTCCTTTTCAAATTATATGATAGTGTGTTTGTTTGTGTGTATTTGTGTGTGTGATTGAATAAAAAAACGGAAAACTGATAAACACATTTTTCAAAACAGATTAACAGATGTTGTATGATGTCCCCTCCAATATCCAATACAGGGGTAGGAAACTTTAGGGACTTCAGATGCTTTGTGGACTACATCTCGTTTTGCAAGAATTATCACTATAAGAGCATTATGGAGGGTCCAGTTCACAACATCTGAAGTGCCGATGGTTGCCTATCACTAATGTACTATTTAAATCTCCTGGTATAGTAGTTAGTCACTCTTCCCATTGTCCTTGAAAGGGATTTTTGACTCAACATGTCTGTTAATTTTTTTCTGATTTTTGGTATCCTTGACTTGACTACGTTTCTCAAAGTTGAGGTTTTACTTCTGTTAATCTTCGGCTTGTTTCTGCCTGCACAGTCGATTTTATATTCCTTTATCATCTTAAAACATTAAGCGTGATAATTCTATCCATGGGTAATATGTTTTTCATTGTCCTTCCTTTGTTATGTTTTGGTCCACGTGACTCACAGCTGCGTGGACAGAGTTTTCGGACCCATATAGTACAGTGTTCAAAGAGTTAAGCTGTTCTTTATACAAAGGGACTCGGACACAACTTAAATCTATACAAATTGTGGCCACTTTTTCACCGACTTCGGCCATTGGCCCCCTCCATTAAGCCAGTTGGCTAAACTTGACACTGACTTTCTCATTTCAAGAATAAAAAGTATATACCTTAACCTAACTGACAAATATTCTTGCAGCTCTTCCTCCTCGTTCATCCATGCCCTTACACTAAATATTTTTAAAATCAGACTCTCCAGTTTTTTTCATGACTTAAAACATTGTTTTCTATGCTTTTTTTGTTGTTTTTTTACAATGATTCAAATTATGTACATGTCATTTGCCTGGCAGTCCATTCTTCAATTCTTCAATAAAAATGCACTTAGTGACCCATTCCTCCATTGCAACGTAGTATGTACCAAAATTAATTCTGCAAAACAACGTTGTTAGTATTCCCTCGATGTGTCTATTTATTATTATTATTCAACATTTTTGACTTGCCTGGAAGATGTTTTCGGAGCTGCATCTCTTTATCCCATTACCACGTTAACCTTGAATATCTCTCCTTCAATTACCATTTCCACCTACCCTTAAGATCCACTGAATTATCCCACATTAAACTGACCCCAATACTCATTATACACGTGTTATCCAGTCTGGTCAATATCATTCTCCTGTTTTCACCTCCAGTCATTCATTTTATACTCTGTATCATCTTATGCTGTACCTATTCCTTGTTTGTACTGTTAGCTTGAAGTGTGTCTAAGCGTGTATTGTCAGCTTCTTTAGTCTAATACTTTAATTGTGAAATAGATTTCTTGAAGAATATGACGCGGTGGATTTTGTTGGTGTAACATAATTCATGCAGTGTGATTATAAGTTATTTCTAAGCTCACTGCTCAGGTGAATCAAAGTACTCGGTAGCGCCAAATGTTGTGCATAAGCAGCCTTGCAACATATTATTTTCATTTTAAATATACTTATATAACCAAAATGAAAATATCTCAAAGTTCTTGTAAAACACTGTCGTATTGAAAATTTGAAAATCACAGCATGACTAGAATGTTTCGACCAATTTTCTCATTTATATGTATGTGTTTGTTTATATGTATATATGGATATATAACATTGTACAGCGCTACGGAATCTGATGGCGCTATATAAATAATATATAACATTGTACAGCGCTACGGAATCTGATGGCGCTATATAAATAATATATAACATTGTACAGCGCTACGGAATCTGATGGCGCTATAGAAATAATATATAACATTGTACAGCGCTACGGAATCTGATGGTGCTATAGAAATAATATATAACATTGTACAGCGCTACGGAATCTGATGGTGCTATATAAATAATATATAACATTGTACAGCGCTACGGAATCTGATGGCGCTATATAAATAATATATAACATTGTACAGCTCTACGGAATCTGATGGCGCTATAGAAATAATATATAACTTTGTACAGCTCTACGGAATCTGATGGTGCTATAGAAATAATATATAAAACAAGAGGGGGTTGGCTGCACTCACCTTAACATGCATAAATGGGGGTGCTGCTGGGGGCCAAATAATACAATACACAAGATCCAGCGCACTCACCTATCCACTAAACAGCAACTTCAATGTTGAAAGATTTTATTTGTTTTTTTAAAAACACCTAAAAAACAAATAAAATCTTTCAACATTGAAGTTGCTGTTTAATGGATAGGTGAGTGCGCTGGATCTTGTGTATAGAAATAATATATAACATTGTACAGCTCTACGGAATCTGATGGTGCTATAGAAATAATAAAATAATAATATATATATATATCCACACACACAAACCCAACAGCTGGTCACTCCATGTACACTTATATTTCCTTTTCCTGGTGCTCAAACCCCAAGCCAGTTATTATAGATTTTAAGGAGAGGCGCACTCAGGCAATTGTAATCCAAAATGTGATTGCTTTAATTCAGCTAGTATAAATAAGGAAGTAAAGTTGATGCTTCAGTCCCACTGAAAGAATGTTTTCTCAAGGTACAAATTCCACAATACTGCCAAAACTATATACACTAGCAAACGTGAGTTGTTTGTGAGGTTGACTGTGAAACTGAGGCTGAGTGACCTCATACTGACATCACACACACAGAGATCCTCCCCTCACTGCCCGATAATCCAACCCTACAATAAAATGAAGTTAAATAAATTTTGCTAGCAGTTTGACTGGTCATGATGTCCATGAAATTGTATGATGTCATTTTTTTGCATAGAAGTCTTTAAAGAAGCAGAAATGCAATAAATATTAGGGAGCCGTATAATGAAAATCACCCTTTATGGGTGAGAATCTATCATACACGATATGAATAGCCTACACCAACAAACTTCTTGGACACTATAAAACACGTATTCTTTAAATGATCTCCCCTGATTTCTATTGTTGCCATTTGGAGGTTCATTATTGAATTTCTGTAACATAGGGCATGCACATCATTTTGTAACTAACTGATATTGCTGAGAAAAATCTGAATTTTATACTTATAATTACCGTATTTATCGGCGTATAACACGCACTTTTTCTCCCTAAAAATAGGGAGCAAATTGTGGGTGCGTGTTATACGCCGGCCCTTTAAATACTGCAGCCGCCTGAGTCAAGAGCGCTCAGGCGGCTGCAGTTGGTACTCACCTCCCCTGTAGCGTGGCCGAGCCACTCTGCTGTCCGCGGTGGCCAGCCGGAGTGATAGGAAGATGCACGCTCAGTGTGCACCTTCCTGTCAGTCCGACCGGGTACAGGAAACAGAAACTCCTGTTCCGCGCGGGACAGGAGTTTCTGTTTCCTGTACCCGGTCGGACTGACAGGAAGGTGCACACTGAAGTTGCACCTTCCTATCACTCCCGCCGGCCACCCGGCAGGAAGCCGCCGCTACAGGGGAGGGGGTAAGAAGGGTGGAAAATAGAGGGGGGAGGAAGAGGGAGGGGAAGAAGGGAGAGTGGGGAAGTAGAAAGGGGAGGCAAGAAGAGGAGGAGGGGGAAGTAGAAAGGGGGGAGGGGTAGAAGAGGAGGGTAGAAAAGAGGGGGAGTAAGAAAGGGGTAAGAAGAGGGGAGGAAGAGAAGTAAGGGGAGGTAGGGGGGAGTAGAAAGGGGTAGAAGAGGGGGAGTAAGAGGGAGGGAAGTAAGAGAGAGGGGGAGTAAGAAGTGGGTAAGAGGGGTAAGAAGAGGGAGGGAGTAAGAAGGGGGTAGAGGGGAGGGAGGGAGTAGTAAGAATAGGGGGGTAAGAAGAGGGGGGAGTAAGAAAGGGGGGTAAGAAGAGGGGGGAGTAAGAAAGGGGTAAGAAGGGGAAGGGGAAGTAAGAAGAGGGGGAGGGGGGAGTAAGAAAGGGGGGTAAGAAGTTCTTTATTTGAAATTTAAAGGACCACTCTAGGCACCCAGACCACTTCAGCTTTATGAAGTGGTCTGGGTGCCAGGTCCCTCTAGGATTAACCCTTTTTATAAACATAGCAGTTTCAGAGAAACTGCTATGTTTATACTGAGGGTTAATCCAGCCTCCAGAGCCTCTAGTGGCTGTCTCATTGACAGCCGCTAGAGGCGCTTGCGTGCTTCTCACTGTGAAAATCACAGAGAGAGCACGCAAGCGTCCATAGGAAAGCATTGTAAATGCTTTCCTATGCGACCGGCTGAATGCGCGCGCGGAGCAAGGAGGAGAGGAGGAGTACAGCTCCCCGCCCGGCGCTGGAGAAAGGTAAGTGTTTAACCCCTTCCTCTCTCCAGAGCCCGGCGGGAGGGGGTCCCTGAGGGTGGGGGCACCCTCAGGGCACTATAGTGGTCCTTTAAGTTTTTTCCCCCTGAAATTTCCTTCTTAAAATCAGGTGCGTGTTATACGCCGGTGCGTGTTATACGCCGATAAATACAGTATTTACTATTTGAAAACTAATTTACAAACCACCAGGGGATCTCTTCCTTAAAGAAGAGACGCTCTTATTTGAGTTTTAGTGTTGAATTTAAACCTCATAGCTGTGTAAATCCAAACGACTTTATGTCCCTTACGGTATAAACTGGTAGTAGACAATTTTTTAAAATAAGGAATATAAGCAAAATTTAAATTAACGATTCTCATGGGACTTAACAGTTGCATAACATTTAATAAACATGGAATTTTAAATACTTACATTTACTGGAATCTTGAGGGTGAGAATAATAAACTACTGACAACAAAATTGTGGTGAAATGCATCAGGGAGCTATTTTACAATATTTGTATTTACGTGTTTTGTTTTCATTTAGTTTTTTTGTCAATTCATCTTGTTTTTTTCAGCTTGTATGATTTTTATATTTGCGACTATTGATAATAATACTTATTATTATTAGACTGTCATGTGTTTAAATACAGACAAAATCGCTTGATTGTGTCCTTTCCTCGTACAGTGTAACTTTTCTATGTGTTTAACCTGTTTAGTTTGTCTTCATTTTGGAATTGTGTCTTTGGAAGTGTAGCATTTTATTTGTGAGGTGATTTGACCTGAGCAATAACTGTCATCTCATGTTACCACTGATGCCACATTGCAATGCGAGTTTTTATTGCATTTTAATTTTTAATAAATAAACATTAGGGAGGAAATAAAAAATAGAGGTAGAGAGGATACATAATGCTGAACGATGTATTATGAGAAAATAATGCCATTAAGGGGTTTTTAAGACCTCATTATCAATCTAACAACCAACCTTATGATAGACTGAGTGTTAGACTAGGGGTTAGGGTGTCCCTAGATGTCTGACATGACATTAGAAACCTCTAATAACACTTCACCATTCACATATAACAGTTGCCGTCCTGTAGTGTAAATCCCTACCCAAGAGGACATAGTCTTAAATTAGAGGGACAAAGGTTTTTAAAAAATAATATCAGGAAGTATTACTTTACTGAGAGGGTAGTGGATGCATGGAATAGGCTTCCAGCTGAAGTGGTAGAGTTTAACACAGTAAAGGAGTTTAAGCATGCGTGGGATATGCATAAGGCTATCCTAACTATAAGATAAGACTAGGGACTAATGAAAGTATTTAGAAAATTGGGCAGACTAGATGGGCCGAATGGTTCTTATCTGCCGTCACATTCTATGTTTCTATGTTTCCCACTAATCTCAAAAAGACTGAGATTAGCACTACCCTAAGTAGTGGACTTCCCATGGGGGCAATACATAGAATAGAAAGGCTGTCTTAAACATGCATCCTTTATAAGGGTTCTGTTAGTAGCCAATAAATAGAACATATAACATTCAGTACACTCCATGTTAAACTGACATTAAAGCACATAAAGTTTTAAATATCGTCTGGGTGCTCTCTACAGTTCGAGTTTTATTTAAGTCCTGCAATCATGCATTTGTGATGGGGAGGGGGGCATTTTTGGTCAGTATTTACACTGAGCAGTCACAACATTAAAAGCACCTGCCTAATATTGTGTACGCCCCGCTAATGCTGCCAAAACAGCTCTTATGTCAAGGCATGGACTCCACAAGTCCTCCAAACATGTCCTGTTGTAATTGGCATTGAGACATTATCAGTAGATGCTTTAAGTCCTGCAAGTTGCGAGGTGGAGCCTCCATGAATTGGACTTGTTGTTACAACACATCCCACAGATGCTCAACTGGATTGAGATCTGGGGAATTTGTAGGAGAATGAAAACTTGACAAAGTCGGGTCGAAATGTTGTTCTGTGTTTGCTCCTATAAAGCTGCTGTTTTGCTATCTAATTGAGTGTCTGGACCGTCACTTTATTCTACACATTTGATGTAGGCTCTGGCCTGCATTCTCCTTCAATTCACTACCTTTCTAGAATGGTCACCATTAAGTTTTTCAGCAATTTGATCTACAGGAGCTCTTCTGTGTGATTGGACTAGATGGGATTGCCTTCGCTTCCCACGAGCATCCATGAGCATTGGGTGGCCATGCCCCTGACGCTGGTTCACTGGTTGCTCTTCCTTGCACCACTTTTTGTAGGTACTAACAACTGCATACCAGGAACACCCTAGTAGACTTGCCATTTTGGAGATGATCTGACCCAGTTGTCTAGCCATCACTTCTTGGCCCTTGTCAAAGTCACTCAGATATTTTCGCTTGCTTGTTTTTCCTGTTTACAACACATGAAATTCAATAACTGACTTTTCGCTTGCTGCCTAATATATCCCACCCTTTTTGCAGGTGCCATTGTAACAATATAATTTATGTTATCCCCTTCACCTGTCAGTGGTTTTAATGTTGTGGCTGATCAGTGTATATATAAATATGGAAATTATATAATTGTGTTGGTATTCTGTCATTGAATTAAGTAATAAAAAAGATATTAAAAATTCTTCATACATTATCTCCACTGCAATTATTGCAAATAGTTTTATACTTGATTCTGTGAATTGTCATTTAAAAGAACACTCAAGTCACCATAACAACAATAATCTCAATGATGGTTGAGACTTAAGATAAGGCCAGGGACTAATTAAAAGTATTTTGAAAATTGGGCAGACTAGATGGGTCGAATGGTTCTTATCTGCCGTCACATTCTATGTTTCTATGTGTTCAAGGAGGCGCTGGGCGCCATCTTACCTTAAGCTGTAAAACTGTGAGAATTGTTTAACCACCAAAGTCATAAGAAGGCGCACATCATTTCATGACCTTGTCTTCTAGTAAAGTTCAAGGTATCAATGAGGAAGCCTTAGACTGGTTGCTTGTGATAGGCTGAGAGCTTCATCT